CATGAAATCCTGGCTCCACTGATGATGTAAATTGTTTCAAGCCACTGCATCACAAGTAGGATTTTACTACAGATACAAAGGGGTGGCTCTTCAGCCTAGACTGAGAAGTGTAGTCATGGGGATAAGTAAATTATTTATTTTATTCTCACTACAGCAAGTTTCTACCAACTAAAAGTATTCCACCATGATAATATTACAGATGAAAAAGTGATACGCCATCAATTTAAGCTCTTTTCCATCTTGAAATTAAATAGCTACAATTTTCAATTTGCATGGCATATTAGTATTTGATTAATCTATAGGAAAGCATATGAAAGTGTAATATTTTCTTCTACACAGAATAGATATATCATGCATCCATCTAAACAGTAGCCCTGATAACGCAGTATTTTCATTGTTGTTACTGACACACGGGTTGGAAGAAACTACTCTCACCTTCAGGAAACTGCAGTATAGGAAAAATCCTCAGCCAAACCTCTTCCCCAGCAAGGGAAGCCAAAAAAAAAAAAAAAAAAAAATCTGACTTTTCAAATTTGTAATAGCTGGTCTATCTGCACAGAATATTTCAACATTCCCTGACAGAAAGTAAACTTTAAATTAACATATATGAACTATCTTTGGGATCACTGGACAGCCTAGGTTGCAGCATAATTGCTTCCCAGCTATAAAACTGCAGAGAATATTAGGCATCTGCCTTGTCCTCCCAGACCACATCAGCCTTCATGTTAACTTAACTGTACCAGTATTACACAAGATTTATAGGGCTTGAATTAGTGCATTTGAGGTTTAATTAGAGCTCCATAAATTTTCAGCAGTTCTCCTATGACACTGCCTCAGCCAGTGATCTTTGGTTTCCCCTGAATTCTGGGCAGAAGGTGGAAGACCAGGCTATAAAGGACAAGACAACCATTGGCTCTGTGTACAGCAGTTTTTACAAGCCAAACCATATCCCACTAGGGGTTTATCAAATCAAAAAATAGACTTCCTGCTTGCCAAAATATGACCTCAAGAGGACAAAGCAAGTAAGTTCTCTACCAACAACATATCTATTCATTTCTGCTTGCAGGGAGGTGGAGGAAAGAGTGCAGCAAAAGAGTGCTTCACATAAACAACAAGTCTTCAGAAGTTCTCTCCAGAGAAACTGCTAAACATATGGGGCAGAAAAAGACCCAAAAAGCTATGCTGCTGTTGCTTTTAAATCAAAAAGTTCTTATGAAAAATAACATCTCTAGTTTCATGTTCAAAAATAAATCAGGGAAATAAAATTAATTCTATTTTTCTCTTTCCTTACTTTGAAACTGCCAATGGCCTTGAAGCAATGCTTCCCAGAAAGTTAGGTGTGTCCTTTACTGAAAAGCCAGAAACAGCATTCTGGCCTAGCACGAGCTCAACTTAAAGACATTTTTCTACTAACAATCTGAATAATTTTTGCACCCTGTACAAGCTCTCTACTGACAGAGATAAATAATAAAAACCAAAGTATTCCTCTCAGGTTATTACCTGGATAGCTGCTGAAGATCTTGCCAATGTAGCATTTGTTTATATTTAGAGAGTGATTGTTGTTTTGAAACTAGAACAACACATGCAGACATTTCAGTGAGTTCTGCTTTAGAATGACCATTTGACATGGTGCAGATCTACATTTATTTCTACTGCTCACACAGCAGAATACTGCTTCAGAGCCTCCTCAACAGACATACAAGTGGATTCAAAGGTTTTCTCCATGTGAAAGAAAAAGTTTGTGTCACACATACAGAGCTTTTGCCTAGCCTGTTAGAGCATTTCCATCTTTCAAAATTGCACATACATCTTAGACTTGTTATTTAGAAGAAATAGCCCTGTAGGGTCTTACTCAGACCATAAAGATATGAAAAATTACCACATAAGAAGAAGGAAAAAAGCTGGGAGGTATTATACAAAAGCAAGATAGTTAAAAATTTGAGCAGTCCTGGGGCTTTGGGTTAATATTCTGGCCTGTTAGACTTCTCTTAACAATATGCAATATGAAAGAAAGCACAAAACTCCTGCTAAAATGCATGCAAAGTGAGTAAGTTGTCCCAGAACAGCTCTAAGACTCAGCAGCAAATATGTTTTATGCTTCATGTTCAACAACCCAATGGACTAGACCTGTAGCTAACTGCAAAACATGCAGGTGACACCCTATTTCATACTCAGAGATTATATTTTTTTTCTACTAATTATGTACAGTTTCATCCAGTTCATGCTTGATGGACTTGATGAAAACAGGTAGAATAGGACTATTCACTGTCTCCTACTCCATTCTTCTTCCTAGACATTTCCTTCGTGTTAGTGCCTTCACCTTTCACTTTAAAACCAACATTTATGTCACATTGTCTGTGTGCAATTAATAATAATAATAGGCTGACTGCTTACTCATATCTAAACATTTTACATAAATTTCCAATCATTGGTGATTAGGTAGTAGATGTATAACATAATGGCACGTGCTTAGTGGAAAATAAGCAACACAAAAGAGGAAAAGAATTATTATCATATAGATGCAAAACGTTACAGTGAGAGTCACAAGCCAAGTCAGGTGGCAAAGTAATGCAAGGAGTAATAAAGCAGAATGTAGTGATAAAAACCAACAATCTGCCCACATATGCCAGAGTGGACCCACCTTCCTGCTTGCAAGAATTGTGAGTTAAACTTTATCACATTTGCATAATTCCACTGCAGCAGGATCCTGACTCCACAGCATGACTGGAGATAGCTGTGTATTATTTCAATAAAATGGGTTTCTTCCTTGTTCATGTGCTTTCTGTATGTATTCACACTAATAGTCCTTTTGAGAAAACTCTCCAGAAAATAATTAACTTTAATAGCTATTCTACAGCTAAAGCTGCACAACTGGGTGGCAAACATAACTGAGCTCTCTACAGCAAAACTGGAGTCTTCAAAAGAATTATAAGGAAAAAGATTACAGGTTCAGCACTGCTTCTGGGGTAAAATGTATATTTGTTATAAATATATCAAATCCCCTAAAAACTACACCCATTGAAACTTCATATTTAGGCTGATTTGCTTTCCAAATCATATAGACAGCGCAGTTGTGTACAATCTTTAAACAAGTATAACCACAGAGAAATGCTGAGAGATTTAAGAGAAATAAAGGCATGATCAGCTAGCTTGTAATCTTCTTTTCTCTTATTCTCCTCCCTATAGCTGCATTAAATTGCCTGTTGAGAACAATAGCATATTTGTGCTTTTATAGGTAGAATGATTTGTATTATGTAAAGATTTGGCTAACAGAGTAAAGATGCATTCAAACTGAGCTGGATTACATGCTGTTAATAATTTTCTGGATGCTCTAGGGGACCCATAATTCTGGAGGAATAGAGATTAGCATTTGAATATATACTTTGCAAGACATCTCAAAGCAGACTTTTTTATTTTAGTTTTTGTCATTTTTCTAGAGCCACACTAACCAGAAATCAAATCACTGAAAGCATTTGGAAGGAAAAAGTATACCACAATCAAGTTTTTATGCCCCACCTCCCCACCCACTTTGGAGTACACAGAAAATCTGTCTTTTCACAACTCCCATACCATTTCAATAGTCTTCTTTAGAAACTCAGACTACCTAGAAAAGGTGAACAAACTTGCAGTATTGTTCTATCCATGTTGAATAACTAGAGGAACTCAGCAAGCAAACCAGAATTTGCTGTTCTGAGTAAAAGCTCAAGCTCCTCAGAAAGATGGTTTTGTTATGGGCTAGGTTCTGTTTCAGAAAGTAAAAATACATTATTTTAACAAAATTAGTAGAATATCTCAAATTGCACAAAAATACCCCTTAAATATAATAGCATTCTTTTCTTATTAATAACTTCAGCATAGACAAGACTCCCATTTTTCTGTTCTCATGAAACACTGAAGTCTTTTAGCCACTGTTTGCTGAACATTGAAATACTTTGTAAATTGTGTATGTTTTTTCACGTCTATATTTTTGTGATTTTTGAAGCACTTACTACTTCAGAACAGTCTTAAAGTATGTGACTCTCTAATATTATCTGACAAACTCAACGGGGTAGCATGCTGCATTGTTTCTTTTTAATAAAATGCTTTTCTTACAGTTATAGGGTTCACTTAGCAAGCACAGATTCACTGGACAAAATATACTTTTCATGACCTTTGCTCCTCAGTTATAATTAGTTGTCTGGTCCCAGTTGCTTACAGTGTAAACAAAGACTGATAAACCCACATTGGCTGCACGTATTTATTACATTACAACTCAGCTGCCAAATGTCTAACCGTTCTAATAAAAATCTATTTTCTAAGGTTTATGTTTTATTGCATGTGTGACTCCCTTATTGGTTAGCATTTTGGAGTTGTGGAAAAGGTTATGAATTTAGAAACTAACTGCATTCATATCATATTTAAAACTTAATGCTATTTTATTAAAGACATATGGGCCTCCAAAGTACACATATTAAATGTCATGTAAGAAAAGTAGCAGTTTAAATCATGGTCAAATTCATTTTTGACGTGACTCCTGAGGCTTCCCAAGATCTGAACTATTTCTTTGTAAATCTGGCAGTTTAACCACACTCATAAATCACTTTCAAAGCATATTATTTCTTAATTTTACTGCATTAGAGAGCATTTGGCCTACACAGTGAACTGTTTGTAACTGTTACACGAACAAAGTTATATGTTTAGTCTTATAATGTGTGAAGGAAAAAAGTCTTAATTTCTCAGTCCTGAATTCACCTCTTATTTTAACCCAAATGATACATTTCCTAATGAAATTTACCAGAATAAGATACATAGCATGGTTTGCTGTACCGACATAGAAAACCCCTTAATCTCCCGCTTCAAGCTCATAAGTTAGCATCACAAAGGCAACAATAATTTAATCATTAAGCAAATATCCCACAG